TGACCAGACCAAAAAAAAAAAAAAAAATATCTTAAGAAATTTTATTATAAGTCACCTTATTATTAATGAAAATGACATATCCTAAGTTTATAGCATGATAAAGATGGGCTAGAGTATGCTTCATTAGCATTGTGATAAAATCGTGTTTAAAGCATACGCATAATGAGAATTGAAAATAACTATCACATACTTAGGAGGAGAAAAAGAGGATGATCTGAGTGAGTGACTAACATTGTGAGTACGTATATAAAAGTAATAAAATTAGGACGAGTAATATACACCACTAATTACTGATATTTTATAATAGAAACCTTCGGAACTTGTAATCATTTAGACTCTCTTTCAATGTGCTACGTACCTGTCTACCTCCATTTTAGATTAATTACAACGATTTTAATATAAAGTATAGCTAGAAAATGATTAAAGCATTGCAAATAATTTAAAATAGAGAGTCCTTGTTCTTTTGAGATGTTATGATATGCTCTGCTTTATTTACAATTGCTATGTTTTACTCAGAAGCTCAAAAGAATAAGGCGAGCATTTGTAAATATGTAATGAGTGTACTATAATAAAATTTGTCACATCGTACTATAGGCAGGGCAAATTAACACAGTCCAGGATTAGGAAGAAGTCGGCTTCGCAACAAAAAAGCAAGGAAATGTTCAGCTGTCAAAAAATAAAATAAATAAGAAAAGAGGAAGACAGAAAAGAACCTTTAGAAAGGAAAGGTTAATTTGTTGAGGGCCTTTTAAAGACTTATCCATCTATGTCTATCCTATTGTCTCTTCATTGTGTGGACTGCGGTCCCATTGTCTCATTACCACGTGTCGATATTAGCTGCCAAGAATCACACCATTGACCGCCTAAGCTCTCACTATAGTCTATGTGCTAATCACCTCTTTAATCACATACATTTTTCTATTTTATTTAAGAAAAATGTTATACATAGTTTTTAGGGTTATCTATAAACATTAAATACACTCTAAAAATTTATTTAAATTTATAAAATTATAACAAAAATACACAAATTACATTGATTTACGTGTATTTTTTTGTCACAAATTTCTAATTTTATACAATTTTTAATAGTGTATTTAATGCTTATATACAACCCTAAGGATTACATATAACATTACCCTTTATTTAATCGTAACGTTTAAAATATTACATTTCATATACTAAGGTACGCGTATATTAAAATATTTACTAAAATAAGTAGTATAATTCTTGTAATTAGGTAACACGTATATTATAATATTTACTAAAATGTAATCTTTTATTGAACTGTTGTGCTCTACTCTGCTCTATACAAATCTGTTTAGTTTTGCTCTGCTCTGTTCTGTCGAGCCTTGCTCAACATCGCTTTGCTTAGTTTAGATAAGCTGCTCTGCTTTGCTCTATTATTGAAATATACTCTGAACCGAACTGATTGGAGTTGAACTGAACAGAATAGATCTAAAATGAATTGTTTATAAGATAAGAAAACTAGAAATTGAAATGAAATTATTGTAGCTGAACTAACTGAAATAATTGGAGCTGAATTGAGCTGAACTAAAATTAACCGGAAGAGAACATGACCTTACTCAATTTTCTTTCACCATTAACACATCCTCTTGCTACGTATTTAAAAAAAAAGCTAGCTAGGGATCACATAATGTAGACGAACAAAATAATTAATCATGATAATGTATACATAGTATCTTATTTAGCCCTTCCCTATAATCGATGATATAATTATTTTGACAAATTCGTTGGTTTAATTACCTTCTTTAATCATTTCCTACAAGTAAAAGAAATGAAGGAAGTAATAACCTTTCCATTCTAATTTTAAATGTTAATTGTTCAACTTGTTTAATTTCACCTATTCCATGAAAAATAAGTTCAAAAAATTTTATATCCATACCTTTTACAAAATAGTGTTTGGACAATTGTAATATCCTCTAAAATATTCATTTACTTATTTACTTTCATTAATGTTGTTAATTGTCTTTTTTAACCCTTAAGAATAGTGATATTTTCCTCAATAATGCTACCAACAATTAAAGTTGTAACATAAGATCAAATCGAAAGAGCTCTCTGAACATGGCTAGCCATGACGCGCACATTAGCCATTGTAGCATAAAATAAGTTTTGAAAAACATGTATGCCGCAAGTTGAATAATCAACCCTTATCAAAATTTATTTCTCGTGAGCGTATCAATTTGAACTTTTGAACTTATATGAACTAACATAAGTGAAAAATAGATCAAAAGAAGAAGACCTTTAAACTTTATTAGAACATATTTTAGTTTTAAATTGAACTTAAGTATGTAGTACTTATCAATACATACATTAATCTTATTAAAAACTTTCTTTTCCTTAACTTAGACTCGTCAAATCTTATAAAAAGTAATGTTCCCTAAAATTAATAAGTGGAAACATGGTGTGCATAATAGGGGCCTATTTAAAGTGCTCTCTAAGTCCCTTAATTACATGTATATATTCCTTTTGAAGGTGCCTAACGTATTTTGCCTGTCTCATAATATTTCCATTTAATACCTTTTGACTCTAGTTAGTGTTATATTAATAATATGTAATTTTCATACTTAGTTGAATTATGAAATTAAATAAAAATTGCACAAAAAAAAAAAACAATATTGATGGTCAAAACTCATTTTAATTTTTCTTATCATATCTAATTGGAACTTATTTTTTCAGATCTACACAATGTTCAACACACATCTTATAATATTTATTATATCTTATTTGATCACTTAATTAGGCCTTCTTGTTTTTTTTTTTTTTTTTTTTTTTTACAAAAACAGGCCTTAATTCACCTATTTAATTTTATCTAACTGAAAATGTATTTATAGTTACAGTGATTATTTTTAGACTAGAACTAATTTTACAAAATAATACTCGAGTCTATTTTATTGATTTACATTTTTTTATCCACTAGTTCAATTTTTGTGTGATGAGATTAATATACATTTCTTTTTTTCCTAAAAAACTAAGTTTTTACTTAATACAATTAATCAAAAAATTTAAAACAACTTAATTTTATTTAATATTAAATTTTATGTCATGAAAATATTACATTGCAACGATAATATAATCTTAGGTCAAAGTTATCCATCTCCTCTTTTATTTTGTGCTGTCCCTCCATATCAACATCTTTGTCTTCCACCAGATCTAATAATTTTCTTCAAAAATTTTCCAACTCGTATCATATCCTATTATTGATTTGCCATGGTCATGCACTAAAAAGTGTGGTGTAAGTGCTCCCTCTTTACTAAGAAAGTCGGCAAGTTTACAAACATTGTTAAAAACTTAATAAATAAAAATTAAATATATATATATGGACTGTGCTCAGTAACTAGCTTATATTATGTGAGCAAAATTTGATTATTTGACCAACATTAGCTTATTGACTATTAAATAAGCTAATTCAAGGTGTTTGGTAGGAAACTTACTTAAAGAGCTTATTCCACTAAATAAGATCTTTTCCAAAAAGGTCCTTTTAGAAGCCTTTTCAATTATCTTATTCAATTGTTATGGTGAAATGACACTTATATCCCCATTTAATTAAAAATCGTATATGAATTACCTACCCCACAATTAGCTTATTGAATTGATCATTTCACATAATCAATCAGCTTTAAACAAGTAGCTATTTACCAAACACTTTTCTACAATAAGCTAATAATATAAGGGCCTAATTGTTAACATTTACTGAACTGAGCTGAACTGAACTGAACTAATTGGAGCTAAACTGAACTGAGCTGAAATGAATATTTTATGAGAGAAGATAATTAGGAGCTGAACTGAAGTGAACTGATTGGAGCTGAACTGAACTGATTATTAGAGCTGAACTGAAATGAACTGAAATTAAGTAAATGTGAACAAGCCCTAAGTCAGTCAAATTAGTTAATACAATCAGCTTCTTTAAATCAGCTAACACAATCCGCTTAACATTTCAGATTTTCCCCAAACACAGCCATGGGCTAGTTATTAATAATCCATCAATTTCTTTTAAAATCTTTTCCCTCCATATTAAATTTGTTAGATAATTTGTACATCTTACTCCATATTATATTTTGCATTTAGGTATTCATTAAAAAAAATATTATTTATAAATCAAATAAAATAATTTATTAAGAGGTATATATGTATAATTAAACTAATAGTCCAAATTTTTTATTAATATAATTAAATTAGTAAATATAATCATTTTAGAAGTACTAAATATCAATTGCCACTCACTTGTCTAATCAGCTACGGAGTAGTGAATATTGAAGATTGACTTTGTGAGTGAAGAGGGAAAAAAAAAAAAAGAGAGAGAGAGAGAGAGAGACTAATATCAAATTATCAATGTCCCTTTATAGATGTCTTCGGTCTTACCCTCGTAGACTCATAGTTAGATACATATTATTAAGTACGGAATGAACAAACATAATATTGCCATTTGTTGTACTGCCATAACGTAATATTTCTCCTTAACATGCATGTATGCATGTTTGTGCTAAAAAAAATACTCGTATATTTTACTCTCTTTTCTTTAGGTATTTTAAAGTTAAAAAATACGTTTAAAATAATTGTGTTATAGATGATTTAGGTGCAAATAAAATGCATCAATAGTTAACTTATAAAATAGAGCATAGATGTAACAATGTCATCATAGTGTATATAATTTGGCATATTTTTTTGAAAGGTTATGTGAATAATAAACCAATGTATACCACACAAGTCCATTAAACAAATTACATATTACTACCTTTGTTTAGTTTATACTTTAAACGTATTTCCTTTTGTTTGTTTCAAATTAAATTGATGTTAATCATACTAAAGTTTAAGAGACAATCACATCACACGAATGGTTTCTCTCACTATCCCAAAATCTTATCGCATGGATGAAGAATCTATATTAATTTTTTCAACCTCACTTTTCATCACCAGAGCTTTCTGAATAAACGTGTCAGTGATAAAGCTTGAAGTATAAAGTAAAGAATCTAATCTATATCTTCGATGTTTATACTTATTCATTATTTTTTAAAAAATAAAAAATGAAACAATCCATCTTTGTAATATAAACACGTGATTAGTTTGAAACCATACTCTAATAATCATCCTGTTTTATGGTAGATTGGTAGTGATGTAGGTGTAGTAAAATAAAATTTAATAAATAAAAAAAAAATAAAAAAAATTGTTTAGTTTTCTCACTAATGACCACCACAGAGTATCATTACCCAACAAAAGAGTGGGACCCACAATCTCATGTCATGCATATAAAAAAAGAATGGGGCCATCCAAACTTCAACCCAACCCAACGAACATTTTAAGGCTCTTTCTCTCCTCTCTTTCTCTTCTTTTCAACATCATCTCTCTTATTATCAAGTACAAGTACAACCTCCCCTGAAACCCATACAAATAAAATATCACCCAAATTATTATTACACTTGATTACAAATAATTCCAAGTAATCTGTTTGGTTCATATATATATTTTTTGTGATATTATCAATGGATAACACCCACTCACCGGTGGCGGCGGCGGCGGGTGGCGAGCCACAAGAGACGTTGTCGCAGTCGCAGTCACAGCCGCCACCGCAGCCGCATCTACCGCCAGGATTCCGATTTCACCCTACCGATGAAGAGCTCGTTGTTCATTATCTCAAGCGAAAAGTCCAATCTACCCCTCTTCCTGTCTCCATCATAGCCGAGATTGATCTCTATAAGTTCGACCCCTGGGAACTTCCTGGTAATTTCCCTCCCTTTTTTTTTTCCTTATGTTAGATAAATATATAAATAAATAACAATCATGTATAAATGATTGAATCATAATCTTAATTTATTATTATTATTATAATAATAATTATGTTAATAGTTATTCTTTATGTTGTTTGATTAATGAACAGCTAAGGCCGTGTTTGGGGAGCAAGAGTGGTATTTCTTTAGCCCAAGGGATCGGAAATACCCGAACGGAGCACGGCCGAACCGTGCGGCGACATCGGGTTATTGGAAAGCCACCGGAACAGACAAGCCTGTATTAAGCAGTGGTAATCAGAAAGTGGGTGTGAAAAAGGCACTAGTGTTTTACGGTGGTAAACCTCCTAGAGGTGTCAAGACCAATTGGATCATGCACGAATATCGTTGGGTTGACGCTTCTAAACCCAACAACAACAAACCCCCTGGTTATGATCTTTGTCATAACAAAAAAGGCGGTTCATTGCGGGTAATCTATTTATTCAATTCTTACTAATTATGTGCAACAAAGGAATATTATATATGTCACGAATAATTAACATGTTTTCTTTAGTTTATTACTGGAAAGATAATATATGTATATGGTGTTTTTAGACAAAGGTGTTGATGATGTGTTTTGTTATTACATGGTTGTAGTTGGATGATTGGGTGTTATGTCGAATATACAAGAAGAACAATACAACCCGGCCAATGGATCACGAGCGAGATGATTCCATGGAGGATATGATGATGATGGGAGGTTTGTCGTCGTCGTCCATGTCGATGTCATGTAATCCAACCTCAATAAACAACGTTGGACTTCATCAACCAAAGGCAAACACGAACTCTTTAAACTACGGGTCGTTTCTCAATACTTCTCATGTTGTTGATCAACAAGGTTTATTTGAAGGAATAATGGGCGGTAGTCAACATCATGGTATGGTGGATCATCATGGAGCTCCCTCCTCGCCGCTGTTGCCTCTCAAGAGGTCTATGCCGTCCCTATTCTGGGGCGACAATACTGATCCTGAATCGGGATGTGGTGGTAGTCCTGGCAAGAGATTGTCGATGCTCCAGATGAGCATCGACAATAACAACAACAACACTACTATTGTGGGTAATAACAATAGTAGCGAGGAAAGTGGAGCAAGGAGTGATCATCATGACAACAACAACAACAACAACAACCTCAACAACATCAATTCCATGTCTAGTCTTCTCAACCAACTTCCGTCTCAGACAACACCGCCGTTGCACCAACAACAACCGATGCTAGGGGGACTTTCCGACGGGGTGTTCAGGCAACAATATCCTCTTCCTGGATTAAACTGGTACTCGTAATTGCCTCCGAGTTCCGGTTTAAGTAATCATTATTATTGATTATAGTTAAGATATATATATATGATGATTATTCATATCTTTATGATTCTTAACCATGAATTATATGCCTTACTACTCGTATATATTATACACTTAGCTTAGTCATATATATATTATACACTTAGATTAGGCATCATATATGTAGGTATATATATATTGATTAATTTCGAGTTTTTCGGTTGTTGAAGAGAGATTTATAGAAGAGGCAAGGGGGGTGTTTAATTAATTAATGGGCCTCTTATAGTGTTTAGCAATAATTGCTTGATTATCTAGTTGATAATCAAGTATTAACCCCCCTAAACCTCTCTTCTTCACCAGAAACAGGGATTTAAAAAAAAAAACATATAGTTTACATAAAGTACATATATTTGTATACAATATATTCAACAATAGTTCTATATTATTGAACATTATTGTAGAATTAATAAAAGACAATGATAATTTTGATAATTTTAATTTGCATTAAGTTATTACATATGGATCTTTAATTAGGCCTTTTGTGTAAAGATTGTAATGTATCATTATTATTATTATAAAAATAGAGTTAATAACTTTTGTGGCTACTATATATTGTCGAACATATATATAAATGAATAATTTCTTGTTTATATATATTTGGTTAATTGATTATCATTAACTTTGATGTGAATGGGTTATTTTATGCTAATTCGAGTTCAGATTTCTTGAAATGGTATTGGGTGCAAGCATCGTCTCATCATGCAGCTAGCGCAACATTCACTTAAGAAGTTTTAATTTTCTAGTCCCTTTTAAAGATTTTCTCTCACATATTAACAATTTTTTCATCAATTATTAAAGGTAACATTTTATATATTTTATTTTATTAATCATTTACTAATTTTTTTTGTAGTATTTTTATTACTCCAAAAGTTTTTAAATGAATTTAAAATTTGGTATCACAAAATATATCATTTCTTTGAACTGTTAAATAATCACAATTTGTTTTAAATTTTTATTTACACTCTTGTAATTTCTATAAAAATTAACTAATTACCGTTTTTAAGTTTTTGTTCATTATTTATTGAAAGCTTTTGCTAATTTATTAAATGAGGATGTCCATCTTACATTTGATTAGACGTGAATTAAAATCACGCTTTCTTATTACATCCACTTTTCTACACCAATTAATATTTTTTTTAACTCTGTATAAGTTTGTGATTGAATTCAGAATATTTTTTTTCTACTTGATTTGTTTTTCCGTTTTGGAAGCATACGTACAAAATAATTATCAATTATTTTGAAATGAATAAGTAATTAAAATTTTATTCAATAGCAGATGAAGGGTTGTTAAATTAGTGTTAAGTTGTTGTTGCATGTGTGATTATTGTACCCCAACTCTTTGATTTCTTGAGCTATACTCTTGAGCTTATTATTTTGATCAAGAATTATATATTCAAAGCTTGAGAAGATACATGGAATGTAAGAAAGCACCATGCAATTTGCCTTAAATTTGGTTCTTGTGATTGAAAACCAAGCATAGCTTTGGCCTCTCAATTATGGGAAACTTTATCCCTTCAGAAACCCTAGAAAGGTAAGAATCTTATTTCTATCTATATGTACATGCACTTTGGACCATAAAGTCACATTAGCATGATTAAAGAATATGTCGATAAATTAAAGATAATACTAACTATTAATGTCCGTGACTAATGTAATTAGGCAACAAATATATCCAATGGAAATTTTGAAACCCGTACTTTAATTTGATGCATATAATCTTCGATCACAACACTAATTTTACATTTCTACCTAGTTTTATATATAAAAAAAGGTGGTAATTAAATATCTTGTTGTCTCTTCATGAATAATGATACATGTGAATATTGAATTATCATCACTCTATTATCTTTTATTTTTTAATTTTCTTGAAAAGAAGTACGAGTTTAAGGTTATGTTTGGTTGGGAGGAAAGTTACTTTCTAAACAAGTAGCTTTTCAATTTCCTTTGTTTTCTTTGTAAGAGGGTGACTATAATTTACTTTGGTTGAAAAAACCTCAATTTTGAAAGAAATAATGCTCCATTTTTCTTCTTATCCCTCATCTCCATTGTCTTCATCATATCTTCATCTCTCCATCCCTTCCCTCTATTTCACTTTTCCCTTTTTTATCTTATCTATCTAGCAAGGAACTAGATAAAAAGGAAAAAAAATTCCAAATCTTTGGTATAATAAGAATTACATATAATATTAAAATCAATCATAAGTTTTTCTCTGAACAAAATACAACGTAGTTACTATTCCATTTTATTTTTATTTTTTTGTTTAATCTGTTTTCTTTTTTCACAATTTTCAGTTCAAACTTCAAAGTAATTATCTTTAATTATGAGTTTGCAAATATTAAACTCAATCCAATAAGATGATATTTACAAAAGTAATGCAAACTTCAATTATTCTAATCCTATCTTTAGTAATGTGTTTGCAAAATTTAGAATCAATCCAATAAGTTGATAATTACAAAATACAAATTGAAATGAATATATTCCAAATAGAAACAACAAGAAAGACAAAGCTATAATTTATTATTCTCGACAGTTTTATAGACTTATAGTAAGCTATAAAAGAATTTTTTCGTATGAGCTACAAAAGTATAAAATGATGTTGCAAGTTATATCATAATAAATCATTTTGTGCAATTTATAAATTTAAGCATTGTACAACATACCTGGATCCTTTAATTTTCTCTTCTCCCAAGATCAATAATCTTTGAACACTTTTTACTCTGTATAATCATAACTGTTAAAATTTGATTAATAATTTAAATGTAATAATAAATACTTGTATTATTTTAATAATATTTTTACTTGGACAAGTACTAGTTTTATAATTTTTTTTTTAAAAAAAAATTAATACTGATTTTTTTCCCTTATAATTACAGAGTATTTGATAACTATTACGGAGCACAAAATATAAGCATATTCATGTAATTATATGTGTAATATTGTTATATGAGTCTCGATATGTAGTATTGAATGTGTATTAGAGCATACTAGTATTAATTTTCAAATGTGTGTAATCGAAATTATGAAACATATACAAATGAGATAAATAAAAAGGAACAAATAATAGGAGTTAATATACGTATTACTCCATGTTACTGTACATAAATACGGAGCACGTACTTCATATACAAAAGGTTCAACATCAAAGTACAAATGGGAGGAATATATTTGTTTTTAGGGTATAATAAAAATAACTCAAATTACTACATAAATTTGCATGAACAGCTTTCATGCCTTCATTAGTTTTGTCGAATGAGAACAGGTGTCGAGCTGAGAATCGACGATGGATGATTAATGATATCCATTAGTTTTATTGTATGTGTCAAGAATCGTAATTAAGGCCTTATCTTTGACTATTTTATGAAAGTAACAAAACAGAACGAACGTATCCATTTATAATGGTACTCGTATTAATAATCACATCATTTAATTTAATTTAATCTAATTTACAGCTATCTTCTATTCATCAAGATATTTATGTTGTTCATCAAAAACTGACAAAAATCAAAGTATCTAACCTTTAAGAATTGAAGTACTGAAAATGACAAAGATTTTATACCCTTACAACGATTATATACTTCATAGTCCGTATATAAAGGCTGTCCTACAATCTTGTAAGATACTTTTTCTACCCATAAAAATAAAAAATAAAAAATAAAATAAATAAATAAATAAATAAATAAATAAATAAAACGGATGGAGATTAGATCAAGATCATATTTCTTATCGTTTAAAAAATTATCTAAGAGAATCGGAAATGAAAAATGCAAATTTAAAGTGTAACGTAACTGTTGCCCTGTTTATTTTATGTGTCACATCCAGCTAATCGCGTTTAAACAGTACAAGAAATCCTATACAACTAATTGTACCATACGTATGTTAAACCAAAACCAATTTTACAACACTAGTGACATTATCGTTGTATCATGCGTATTATATAATCGGTTGTACCATAATTACCCTCCTAACATAGTGCAATTGTTAAAAAAACCATTAGCGGATAAGCCGAGGAGGTAATTAAACTCCTAAGCACGCAACTCTTAGCTTGTTTTTATCTTTGTAGTATAATGTAATATTTTAAGTTATTTGTGGGAAAGTTGATATCTTTCTTCATCAAACAATAGTACATAAGAGTAAATAGTAGATTTGTACTTTAAAAAATCAAAATTGAACAGCGAATTTAGCCTCAAATGTCATACTTGATACTTAAGTGGGAATTCAAAGAATCCATCAGTATATGTCTCATTTATTTTATCATTCTTTGTCATGTTTTATTCCTTTCCATTAATGTATATACCATGCACATTATTTACATATCGCCTCAAAATCTTACATTTGCTAACAAATGCTTAGACAACAACTCATTCCCTTCAAAGTACTTATAGATTCTGTACTAGGATTTATATATATGCATAAATTTTTTAAATAAAAAAATAAAAGGAGTAAGAAAAGAAAAGTGTTGTCGATCACCTGCCTTAGCCTTTAAGGCCACTTGCTATTAAAAAATATTTTTGGAAATCATTTAATAACTTTTACTTTTTATGTTGTGATACTATCTATTTAGGGTCTGTTCCGATTGACTGAACTCAGCTGAACTGAACTGAGCTGAACTGAACTGAACTTATTAATTAGTGATTTTTAACTACGGATTAGTGATCTTTGATTATTTATTGATTATTTATTACTATACATATGTGTATATACAAATGTACATATTATTATTATTATTATTATTTATTACTTATTGATTATTATTATTATTATTATTATTATTATTATTATTATTATTATTATTATTATTATTATTATTATTATTATTATTATTATTATTATTATTATTATTGTTAATAGTATTATTATTATTGTTGTTGTTGTTGTTGTCGTCGTCGTCGTCGTTGTCGTTGTAATAAGAGCTTAAAAGAATGAAATTTGGCTTTATATCATTAGCAATATAATTAGACGTAAATTAAGAGCTGAACTGAACTGAACTGAATTGAACTGAGCTGAACTGAACTGAATTGAACTGAATTTCAACGGAAAAGAATAGGCCCTTACATCATTAACCTTTGCAATTTTATGTGAACAAAATAAAAAATTAAGGGCTTCTTATTACATGCATTGTGATTAAACTTTTGAATTAGTTTGGTGGTCAATTCAACATTAGGAAAATGATAACATAGCCCTGATAAATACATATAAAAACTAAAAGGCTACTCTTTATGTATTACAAATAAATAAATAAATATTAATTATATCAATTTATACGTATTTTACTCATATAAAAATTCATCAGTAAGCTATTCATCTTATATTTAGACAAACAAGCAAAATATAATGGTTGATACTTTGTACTCCGTAATACATTGATAATGAGAACATTTATGTCATGTTAATTGACTTTAAAAATAAATAAATAAATAAAAAGGCTATATTTA